GCAAAGTTTTGCCCCACGTTCAGACTGCTTTGGGATCTCGCGTTTACTACCCTTGAACGGTAGTGACGGTGTAACAGTGTTGCAGGCCTCCAAAGCTTGCGTTCGGTTTTTCAGAATCTACCTCCGCCAAATTTTGCTACGCGCTTTACCAAGTTGGGAGTTGCCGCCAGATCAAAAAACTCTGCAATTTCTGCCTTTTTTACTGTAATTCCTAATGCTTTCAAATCACTCGATACCGTTATCTTAAAATAACATTATCACGATTGTGATTTCAGCAAATTATGACTATGTACTCATACGTCATCGGCGATTTCAGTTCTCACTGGTATTGTTTCATGGTACTACCCATTCGTATGTGTATAATTAAAGAAAATTTTGTAGGATGCCACTCCCGTATTGGACCACCCTGTAGAAGATCAACGTGTCTTCTAAGTGACGGTCTAACACGGGAAGGGCGACTCGCATCGGCTGCAGTATTCGGTGGTCTATTTACAGTATTACAGTGCCGTTTCTCTCCAAACGGGAGCTAGTCCTGAATTTAAAAACAGTATGAGGACGTTCAAAATGTTGGTGACACCGCAATTATGATAAAAGGGAATTCAGGGAATGCCTCGGGCTTGAGCCGTAAGAACTGGCCTGACAAATCTACACAATGCTACTAGTTCTTAAGGAACGAAAACGTCGTGTACTGCTTTACGGTAATTAAGCTCTTGTAATGCTCTGTGGGCAGGAGCACGGCTGATAATATGTCGATTCTTTTACTACCCACTTGCTGCGCTTCATCCCGAGTTGGCGCCAGCTGATCCGCTTTGACTGCCGGCTGGAGACTGCCCGCACCGTCCTACACAACATTCAATTACCGCGATATTGTATATGGTCTCCTTCTAAAACTGAGCATACGGAAGTCTCCGGCGCGACGTTACGGTGGACTGCTGTGAATTGAACTGCAGTATTTTCGGTCGCAGTTACTGCGGGCAATTTTGTTGGCTGTCAACAACAACCTGTATATCTCCGAATCAGGGTGTTTACACGCGCAGGCAGCTATTCATCAATGGATGCTGCACAATGCCTATCCTTCCGAGAGATACTTGGGAAGTAATCCAGTTGTACGGTGAGCACATTCTGCTGTTGACTAACGAGTCCAGTTGTCCGTATTATTCCCGCGGGTTTTGAGAGGTTCAACGGGTTTCGTCCTCGTCCTGGATCGTCACGAAGCTAGGACGCGGTGAATTTATGGGATCTGGTTACCTACAGCTTGGACACGCTGATGTCTGTGGCTCTCAACTTGTTTTCAGGTTAGAAGATGATGCTGATAGCCGTTTAAACAGCATCGCTACACCGTAGAAGGTGGCATTGTCACTACCCTCTCAATGGCTCTCATCGGCCAACGGTGCCATGTTTCTTCGAGCACACACAAGTTTAGAAGTTGTGACATCGGGTAGCATATGGCGTATGTACTGTACATGTACATATTGTTGTGTTTTGGTAAATGGTTACGTTGCCAAAGAGGCGAGCGTATCCGGCTGTCTCTCATACCGGAAATCTGCTGGTCAGCGGTTGTAGAAGGCCGAAAGGTGGAAGAACAGATGATGGACATTCAGTGAAACCGCAACCGTCTTTCTGCCGGTATTCGGCCGAGAGGTGGCTGAGATTTTATTGATCGTCCGCCATCCACCGGTCCTAGTTTCGGTCGACTAAAACCGACAGATCCAAAGATCTACGGTAAATTTATAAATTACATACTTGTTCATGATGTTCATGTCCTTTTCGTATTTTATAGCAGGACGCTGGAGTATACGCTTGCAACGTTCTGTCCAGCAACGCGTAGCCATAATCAGCTTCCGTGCAGTTTAAAAATCTCTTTTGCTAATTATATCGTACAAGTAGCCTTGCCCTTCAAATTCAGAATCAATAAATTTCATTTTCTATAAAGGCGACAGAGACAGCCCAAAAATACAACTGTAGTAAGTTTTCTTTACCATGCGGCTATTAGCAAATCTAGAAAAACCAGTTAAAGATAGGAATTCAGATTTACTAATCTGAACGTGGCATTCTCTAGCTTACGTTATGTCACAAACTTTCGGTAAACTAGCGCAATTTATGCAGAACAGAATGCCGTTGTGTCGTAATGCCATTTATCAGAGATATTTAACTGATGTGACTCGTCTTTTACCCAGATACCTAATCAGCAGCAAACGAGACTGTTCTACCGAATTTTTAATAACAGTACTAGCCATGTTGCTGTCCCGGTGATGACGTTGGATCGGGTTCTCCGAGCACCAAGAAAGCAGTCGTGGGTGCTTCCTTAAGGAATATGCTCGGAGAGTGGGGTCCTTAGTGTCTTTAATAAAGTCGACTTTATCCACAATTACTACGTAAATCTGAAGTTTTATGAAGATCTTCGTAGAACTTCAGATTTACGTCGTTATTGTAGCGATTTATTGCCGTTGCGGTCGTACGCCACTGTTTAGAGGCAGTGAAGTCAGAATTTCTCCTTCAGCTGTTGAGCCATCTCTGTTTACTGGATCCCGTGGGGGTGGTGTACAACACGTTCGACTACAACAGATTCGATAATCGATTCGATTATCGAAACTCTTGTAGTCGAACTAACCCAGTCAGGTCATTCCATCTTGTGTATTTCGATTCCGTTGGACGTTGTGAGATCATCTTCCGCAATACCATTCCACTTTCCAAACAGACCGTATGAATGATTCTGTAACAACGCTGTGTAGCTGGCACGCAATTCCAAGCAACGATACGGAATTCAGAGCGTTAGATGCTTCGAATTCTTTGCCAGAATATGAACATTCAACTACACCGAAACGTAAATATTATACAAACTGCACCTGCATTTCCGGAGTTACGTTCGTCACGATCTCCAGGTAGCCATATGCTTCGCTGACCGCAATACGAACTGTAACAAAAGTCTGGTGAAGTGTAACAAAATTATGGTGATAATCGTCCTCCGGGATATGGATAGATATGCCTTCGTGTAGAATATTTATTAAAACTATAGTATTTATTAATTTCGAACGTTAATTTTACACAGCCTTAAAGAAACATCGACCGAATTTGCAGCGAACCATGATCGGATGCAGTTACGTTGACTATTTCGCCACCCAGCATTACTGCTTCCCGAGGGATTAGGGTACCCAGCAAGCGGAATGTCGACATGATAACAGCCGTGTCAAAATATAGGCCGAGTGAAAAACTGCATGGACATAACAAGGAAAGTCGATTTTTTATTAGTTTATTAATTTATGTTTTCCAAACCTTATTTATTATTTTATTCATTCATTTACTCACGGTGACACTCCCCTGAACTATAAACTTGTTTATGCCGGGCTGCCATACAGCTTCGTCGCTGATTCCAACATCATTATGCAACAAGTACCAGCAAGTCAGCAAGTACTCTGTACAAGTAACAACTTCAAAATTTCGAGATTCTATCATCAGAATCTGAATAGATAGATCTTATTTTCTCAACGGTTCCTGTAGAACATTGCCAACACGCTGCAGAGTTTTACGTTAGCGATGTATTCATAATAATTTTGTTCCGTCGAATATGTAAGCAGATTTGTGCCCACTGCACAGCTATATGACTTCTTCCAGTGCTTAAGTTTTAAACACACCTTCATTTTCTTATCCTTCGAAATAACGGCGTTCAAAGACCAGACAGACAGGTTCGCCCTTAAATTCCATTTATAGCAGCGGCCATCAGCATAGCAAAATCAGAGATTATTTTTCAGCTGCAGTGCTGGGGTGGTTAGTAGCGTTATGCTAAGAACGCTTTTGACGGAGCCAACGGAAGTGATGTCTGGAAAATTGAAATCCACAGCTGCATCTGCTAGTTTCGTATTCTTGGGAAAAATCCCATTAATGATCTTTACTGTACACGCTCACGACAGTCGACAGATGCTGAATCGCTTTAAGACACTTCAGCAGAATGTTGAGAAATAACTCATATAAGCATACACACAAAGATAACTACGTGAAGATAGTTCGCAATGATACGCTTACACTCCGTAACACACAATGAATAATGAATATCGAGTTTTAGTCACTTTAATGTTACTCAGCTGAGAACCAACAAATAACAAGTAAACATAGGCTTAAATAACGACCCAAGCCGGAAATAATTGGACACCAAGGGAATCGACCTATTATCAGACAATCGCTCATTATAAGTACATCTGGCTAACAAGGGCATGAGAAGGGCAAAAACATGGACTATGACCATAAGGTAAACACACATGACCATAGCTATACGACCATAGGGGAAAGCATATAATTATATTATATGATTCAGTTATGTAACAACAACAATTCCATAAAATTGTTTACCGGTAAACGCAGCTGTATACATACGTGACTGCACGTCCCATAATATTATTCGCCTGATAAGTATTAACTGTAACAAAGTACGACCATTACAATTCCAAACACTGCTTCACGACGGTTACAATTTACACACACCAACTCACACAGACGTTGCAGACTTGCAGTCTGTAACTGGAAATTATCGATAAGGAAGTTTTTGCAAATCTCGATTAAGCACGCAGATTCAACGTGGGCCCGTGGCATTAATGCAAACGAAGAGCGATCTAAACTGACTGAAATTTGCTGTTTTGTCTAATGAATGTGCGCGTGATTTATTTATTTATCTTTTAGTAATTACTTCAAAAATGGACGCGGAAAACAAATGTAGCACAACTTAGCACGGTGATATGCTTAAAACCTATACTCTAAAACCACAAAACGAGACAAGTTAAACCCACATTTCCAACCGGAACAGTCCAGTTTCTTTACTACTGTTTTAGGGTTTTATCTGTGCCGTTAGCCGTCTCTCTACGGCCTCGCAGTATCCATTTGGAAAGCTTTGTCCGTTAAGTAAAGTATTAAATCCTATAGGGAATTTAAATAGACTGTGCGTTGGTAGTTCGGGATTTTTGCCGTTACTTGTATACCATACAACTAACTTGAAACTGGCCGTTGGCCGTCCATATTTATTTAGCTGTTATTATGATTTATCGACGAACTCGCGCAGTTGACAATTAACCACGAGTACTATTATGAAATTCATAATCGGTTATAGCTAGCCAATACACTTCGTATACGCTACATCATGCAACTATTAAAAACATAACACAGCCGTTTTTTGTGATTGCTATTCGGGTAGTTCTGTCGACAATTCATTGTTACCTACAACGAGTGTGCTAAAGCGACAAAGAGTGTGCTAACCACAACGACTGTGCTAGCTTCAGACATGGCATCACCATTTGCACTGCGACAATTTTCACTGGCCTCATTCGGCGGCGTGAATATTACTACTCCCAAGTCCCAAGCCTGCGCCGGACGCAATCCTCTGCTTCTCATAACTAGGAATTCCAGCTTTGCAATTAGAGTGGCGTGGGCGATCTCACGGTCTCCGGTGATCAGATAGTCGCAGCGGCAATCCCTGTCCTCTCCGTCTCGTAGACCGCACATTTCGTCTGCTTCTTGCCTGTTATCAGTTGAAAACCGTATTTGAGGATGCATGTTTTCGAAAGGTGATGCTTACATGCGTCATGTGTGGAGTTCCGTGGAGGATGTTCTGGTACTTCGAATACAGGAACCCAGTCATCGGCGCGTTGAGTGACATCAGCTTTATGGTCACTGTTAGCTCGGAACGAAGATTCAGGCTCTTCGGTATCAGAGTTATCTTTGACTTGCCCTTCGAGAAAATATCACAATGTATAAAGCAAAGAGTTATACGGTCTGGTACGCTCTCACAAGTTCGAGCGAAATCAGAATATATGGATCTTGTGCTGGCTGTCGTGGATACTTCGATTCCATTGGTCGTTGTTAGATCATCTTTCGGAATACCATTCCACTTGCCAAACAAGCCGTATGTATGATTCTATAACAAGTTACAACGCGTTTTGATGAAATCGTTCGAAAATAAAAGAAAAAATACTCCGACGTATCAAAAAATATATATATATATATTAAACAAAGCTATTCACATACCTTAATTTCGGGAGGCACGTATGCCGTAACATGGAGTCGACCCTGTCTTCCGTGGACCTCGACAGCGATTCCGGACAGAAAGCGCACAACGAGGTTAGAACGTTGAGGAGCGTATTCGATGTCATGAATCCATACGCCTGGAAGGCAAAAGTCATTCCTCGTTAATAAGTACTGGATATTTGTTGAGTCTAGTCTGACCTTTAAATTGCTGCATCTTGAGCCACGATTGGTTGAAGTAGCCAGGCTGACCGTTAACAAAAACAGGGAGATTGGGATGCCGATATTTTTCATGTTTGTTTTCATTTGCTCGTATTTCCACAATGTCGGAACCGTCTTCTTGCATAACAACAGCTTTGGCAAACGTCGAACTGGTGTTTCCAACTGCAACAAGAATCCGTTAACAATACAGAAAAACATTCTTCAAAAGCAAACTTTCTTACAGTGTTCATTCGGCAGTTTCTGCAGACGGACTTGTACGTTGATGGCGAAGTGTGGCAAATCGGACTGTAGGAGTATGTAATCGCCCAGTCCAGGAAAAGTGTACTGAACTTTGTCGAATGTAATGACGTGAGCAGCGCCATAAATAATTGCTGCAGTAGTGCCTAACATTATTTAAGTGGCAGGCGTGATCGTGCCAACGCTTACCGGCTCCGGGATTTTTGTAGCCACCGCAGTCTTGCGATACAAGCCGATACTGTGAGTAATAATCGCAATTGTCTGACCATTGGCAGCACAGAAGCCAGGGCATTTTGTCGTGCAACCAGTTGGACAGGGACGGTACCTATAAAAAGGGGATTTATATTTTTTCCAGTGTTCCTGTATCTATGCTTCGTCTTTATTGTGTTCCGAACGGCTGTAAGTTACCAACTTATAGAATTATGCGTAGAGTACATCAGCAGGAGGCTTAATTACTTTTGGGGATTTCCAGTCGGTTGGGGCACCGTATGGATGCACACGATTCGGTGAACCGCGCCATTTATTGTTAATCAGTAGTCGTCCATTAGCGCCATCATAACAGCACTCCTGTCCGGCTCCGGTGGACGGCTGCACTCGTCCGTAGACGCAGTGAATGGCACCTTTATGGAAATTGCAGGCACTAACGCGATCAGAGTCGCACTCCACATCCAGTGTGAAGCGACCTTTATCCGCTTTGGCTTGTTCCATGGTGCAAGGACAGGGCTGTAGTATATATTGATTTTAGACTGATATCATGCTCGGATACCACTGTGCTAAACGTACCTCGAGCGAACTGATGAACTCCGGCAATGCGCGATCGCTGTAATACCAATCCCGGCAGAACTGCCCAGCGTAGTCGTCACCGAAATCCTGGCGCCATTGTTTATGGAAGTACCATGCCAAAGGAATCATTTCCGACCAAAGGTGCCTATTATTTCCACAGCATGAATTGACTTAAAGAGTTATTTTTTTAAGATTTTGTTTGAATTCGGAAGCGGTTAACGCAAGTTATGTTCGGATACACTAACGGATATTCGTGCGATGTCTTTCCCAAAGCGTTGGAAGCGCTTATGCGGATAAATCCCTGTGTAAATTTTGCCGTCGGCCGCTGAACTACCAAATGATGAGGATAGAAACTGTATTGCCCATCTTCTTTGGGGAGGTTGAGGGCGATATTGGCAATGAACTGTATCACTGAACGGTCAGCCTCTTCCTGATATCCCCAAAGACCTGGACAAAGATACAGGACACAAATAGTGTATAGTCACATTTATAAGTTAGGATATTAATCCGTTTGCATCGGACCTACGGACCATTACACTAGCTGACTAAAAATTGTCTTGATACAAGTCGACGTGTTCACGATGGTAGCACAACGAAATCCGTTAAGGATGATCGAGATAACCTTTTCCTTACATTGGTCACACGTTATTAGAGTCAGTGATCAATTTGACACAAGTCTTTTTCACGTGAAAACCAGTAAGAACACGAAGCAACTTCGAGAATGACTTGGTTATATTCGTACCGATATCGATTTGTATGCGGTCCGTCCAGGTCATTTCCCGAGGCTTCCATTCTACAGTGAGCTTGAGCTGTTTGAGAGGATTTTCCGAGTACCAGTCATCGAGGTTACGCAAATTAACCCTAGCCACACTTTGTCCATGCGGTGCTGACAAAGAATATGCAGTTCTATTACACGTTTTTCATGTTGGATACTACCTAGTACCGTACTATCACTATCTGTACTTCTACAAGTGCTGTGTGGAATTCAACTGGCTGCAGCATTTATCTGCCTACCGACAAAGAACTCCCCGGAGGTATTGTAGGTGTGAACTCCGTCAACGCTAACAGCAAAGGGCAGCCAACCGCTTTCCAGCGTCATCGGCGCTTGACATTTCGCTTTGTCGTGGTCTATGCAAAAGCCCGCCGTTTCATGCCGGCCGAATTTGCAGCGGACCTGGCTCGGATCGGAGCAGGGCACAGTTACGTTGACCATTTCACCGCCGAGCACACCACCTCCCATGGGCGCAGCGTAAGCTGGGCCTTCTGCGAAAACAATTTTTTTAGCATGGGAAAAATCGCAATAAAGATAAATATAAACTACCAGGCAAACAGTTTTAAAAATTAATTGTTTTATTCACATTTGTTTGTTTGTTTGTTTGTTTAATCAGCTCGACAATCAGGGATGTCCTGGACGAGGTCATAGACTATATAAAACATCACATATCTAGACATTTATTTATAGCAAACTCTTATGATCGCTTAGTCCGCTTAGTCCGTACATACTCGTATTTACAAAACAAACTGTTATCCATTATGAAGAATTAGTTTGCACAAAGTGACCAGAATAGGCCTATTTTTGCGAAGTTGCGTCTGCATAAATGTTACAGCAACTGAAAGCCAGATACCATCAGTATTTTATAAATATTTCCATTATGGTATCACCGATATTATGACTGATATTATTTGTATTACTGTGAGCCAACAAAAGGTGCTGATTTCTGTTGTACAAGTATCGATATCGATGCATTCATCTTATCGTGCATGTGCGCTGATTATCGTTTATGAGTAGTCATGTAAGCTTTCCAGTGTAATTACTTAACTTTCTTACTTTGTGCATCTCTTGGTGCTTTGGAGACTTTCGGAGTTTGGGCAAACAAGCTCTTCCTTGAATTTACCGAATCCCCCGGCAACACTTGAGCGTAACCGCATAACACTGTAGTGAACATAAAAATCGACACCAGTGTCCAGCCCGACATTGTTGCAGTCGGTCAGAAAATAAACAAAATCTTAATAATTATTAATAGCCATGGTAAAGTAAAATTAGCACGGAAGGTGGTTGACAATGCAGCGTCTACGCAGTATTCGTGAACCTTTTCAATAATATGACATAAGAATACAGCGGCACTGTGTTGGCACTGGCCGTAGCTGCAACACTCAAAGCATTTTGCAGCACTGCTGTTACAAGGCCTGCAAACAGCAGATTAGTATCAAAAAAATAATGTTTTTACTAGAACAGCAGCTGCACTTTGCACGTGTATAATAGCACACCACCACACTTAAGGGACAGGTTCGCCCTGATAATGATCGTTTTTAAAGCGGTCAGTGCTTTTGTCAAACGTTCCGCTCAAGACTACTTGAAGTATGGCAAGAAATGGGAAAACGATAACGTTTAAATACTAGTACGCATTGGGCTTAGCCGCTTAGGGTAGGGATCGATAGGTTCGCCGGCACATAATGTGCGGCACATGCTGTATTATGCAATATCTGTATTTTAGTACTTCATAGTAACGAGTGCATCCGACAATGTTCTAGTATGTAAGTTAAAGAAGTAAGAAGCAACAGCAAAGGTGGGGAAAATCAAGGAGATCGTGGTACAGAAAAATGCCATAAGTTCGCGCAACGACTGCAGACAGTAATTATCTAAAATTTATTTTCAAATGTGCCGATTTTTCTTAGAGAAATTATTGAGTTTTAACCGGTGTCATTTCAGATCATGCTGGCTAGTAAATATTCTAGCTACAGGCCGAGATTTATAAAAATTTATCCGCGTTAGGCCAGTATCACCATGTTCGATATAAATGCTCTCTTCGATACAAATGCTAGAAGATAAGTATAATACATTATTCGATAATACTTCGATAGATGCTGATACTACAGTATAACACTGCGATCATCTTTCGATAGATGCTGGATGCCTTTTTTACGATTCGTTCAGACACTGCCGGCAGTTAACGTATAATGCAAGTCTACACATACCGTAACTACACTAATTAATAATGTGAGTATCACCTGCGTTAGCCCTGGAGCATAGCCGGGGTACATGCTCACCAGTACAGCTGGAAGTGAGCCTTGGGAACCAGCAGCTGTTTTACTACTACTGTAGCTTCGTACAATACGCGTACTTGTAAGAAAACAGGCATTATTTATTTGATAAAATTAATAACAATCCTTGTATTTTCCTAGCAATCATAATTGTGGCTGCATCGTAAAGATTGTAATTACACATTACAAATATTTGTACCATATTTTATACGGCACAACAACGTAAAGTACGGCACAACCATAATATTAATTTTTGTACGGCACAGTGTCAAAGTGTACGACTTCCTTTGTACGTTGCGTGTACCTGTTGAACATTTAACAGTCGACCCCGTGCAATACATGGTGGAATCGCTGCCCAATACGATTTGTACCCAACGATTGGAGCCGGTAGGTCCATGTCGAAAATGCATGAAAATTAGCTGCGTTTACATTTAGATCTTACCGGAGCCCATAAAGAGGCTCTACGTTCTGAAAATCTCAAGTTTTGTAGAAAGATATCTGTACATTCGTAATATTAAGTGAAAATAAAGCAAAACAAAAATTAAAACAGCAACAGATATCACTACAGTGCAGCATCGGCATAATACAAATTTGCTATTTTGATTTTGTGGGCACGACACAAGGAATGCCAATCCCAGTTTCCTAGCGCCAACGTAACTGTGGCCCATCCTGTTCCTGTTAAAGCGTAAATCTTCAGAATTCGTCAATTATTTCCTAATTCTTAAGCATTTTCTTTTTACCCACTTACATCACCACAAGGTAATCACAGTGCAAACCTCCATAACAGTGGGCCAGGTCAATTGCTTTTGGGTAACCATTGCGCGTCGGGTAACGGAGAAGCGCGTAAAAATCTGTCCATGACTCAGCGAAAAAATTATCGTCCAATCGTAAGTCGAGTACGCTTCCGTGGCAAGAAAGAAATTGAACAACTGAAAAACCGAAGTGGAACCGAAAGTTTTATTTTTGATGCTTTAATGTGGTAATACGTCAAAAAGTTAATTCTGAGTTTACGAGTGTGCATCTGGGTCGCTGGATGCACTTTTTGGTTCAAACAAACAAAATTTTGTTCATCTGTGCAGGAGAGTACGAGTTACTCGTAGTTTGGGTAACGGTTGCGCTTCGATTTCGAAGCGCAACGGTTACACGCACGGGTAAGCTGAAAACCCATCCCAGAATTCTGGTTTACCAATCAAATCGTTTACCTGCTTACGCGCCGTGACGTCATGTTTTTTTACCCGACTGCCGCTTACGCGTCTTACGCGGCTTACACAGAGCAATTGACCTGGCCCAGTATACCACTCATGTTTCGAAACTGTGATGGCATGATGGCACCGTTGTCGCTTTGGCAACAGCCGTCGACAGAGGAAAATTACTCATCGACAGCGGGGTGTTTTTCCTGAAATACAGAGTCCAGTACTGTAGTAAACTTTCCAGTCTGGAAAATTTTGGACTGAGATCTCAAGCATTCGGCATAGCTTATTCACGCCCAAACGGCGATATAACCATATTATTCGTTCAAGTATTCTGACGTTGTATCGGATCATTTGCATCTATTTAGATTTATGTACCTTGAAGTCTTGAACGGTTGAACCATATCCAGAATATTATTAAATCTGTCGTTGCAAAAATCACGCTAAGGTTGGGGATCTTAGCATGATGTCGGGCTCCATATTGACGGCCATAAATAAATTTATTTCTCTTTATTACCTGAATTTTTGAGTTTTGACGGTTGACAACTTAACGGTGAGTTGGTGTGCCGCCGCCTGTGGTGATCTCTCCCAAGAATGTTTTAGAAAATGTGAATCACGCAAGTAAGTAACTCTAATAAATTGTAAGTGTTAGTATCTGTACAGTCTGCATATGTAAGTACATGTGACTGTAACGTTCTAACGTACTCATAGGCTCGTTGCAAATGTAAAAGACTGAATTTAAGCTTTTCTACCATTCTGATCCTTTGGTGTTGTACTGATAGGCTATTATGGCGAGCCTCCGGAGTAAAAAGGCAGTTGCTTTAATGTCGTTCGTTTTTCTCGGTTATTTACAAACTTGACTTTCTTTTGTAATTTGCAGCACATATGTTCTTAAATTGAATTTCTTACTTCTTTGTCGGCACATGAAAAAAGGTCCCCTCACGATGAGACACCGTTATATTAGTCCTATTACGGCACAAAAATGTATTTCTATCCGTTTTGAATTTCTGATAGATACGGTAGTATTGCATCTGTAGCGCAAACGTAAGCATATTCTTTGGGTTTATATGATCAATTTCTAAGCCAAAAATACAGTAGCATTGTTGTAGCGGAACCCGAATGAAATCTACAAGTACATGGTTGGCTGGCCCATACGAATAATGCTGGAAAGTCACATCTATGACCACCTGACAGGCCAGTTTTCATTCATTTTTATTGGTTTTGCCGGAATCCATATTATTCCCGCTGATAACTGGAAATATTGGCTGGTTTTCTTATTGCTTAAAAAACTTACACCTCTTACGGAATGTCCAAGCGCTTGCAAATTACAATTATATTTACGTACTTGGGTCGCTATAGGCTATAAGTTTTCTCTTTGGTATTGATCGCTCCTATAATTACAGTATCAGAAAACACTGAAACAAATTACGCCAACTATAGCAGCACATCGCCCTACTTGAAAGTGGGAAGCTAAGATCGAGTTCCTCTGCTGGCTCGTCCAGCTCCGGCGGCGCTTCTCGCACAATACACATAATATCAGGCAGAAACGGACTCACTTTGAGATTCCGAACAAGTGCGTCAATAAGTACAACGTCTGTCCTGCTGCCTTCCAGAATTCCTCTTGGTTGTTCACGGCAAACTTGTCAAACTGTGCAGGGGACTGTCACAGCCGGGAACGCATTTACAGTATTGCTATTGTGATGATTATATACACTAATCATCGCAAGCTGTGCCGAATATAAATAAGATTTGCCTAGAAAGGCATACGTTCCAAAGCTACCGTCATGTCAAGGGGCATCACAGTAACGTTTTGGCCATAAACTGCCAATAGATTGACACTTTCAAATAAATCTGTAACAAAGAATTCTGATGCCTCCTGCAGCAATTTATTATTAACTTAAATATTTAACGGCAGGTAAGCATGTACAGATACTGCTAAGTGCTAACTCTGTAGGTATTACCTGTAGTAGTCCCAATGCAGATGATTCAGATCTAGTACCACCTCCGTACATTGCAGAGGTTATTTCGCGCACTGACCGGTGGAGTTGAGTTTTGTGCGGCGATCTGTAAGCGCCGGATGGCGCGCAATTCCCAAATTCGCCCCCTTTTACGTGGGGCTTTTGTAGAATGTTTCTCCATTGACACAATATTTATTGGGTTGTGACCTTGAACATGCAAGGAAGCGATTCAAGATGTGCGAGTCTCGCGCACCCTTCTACCGCACAGAAAGTTGCCGCGGCCCGGGCAGCGCGGCCCACCGTAAACGCTATGTACGACATATGTAGATTGACGCAATGAACACAAAAATTTAAATTTGATTTTACCAGTCACTAGTATACATTAAGAGTTTTTATTTTTAAAGCTTTAGTCCGTTTTTTAGTCAAATAATCGTTTGGCTAACACTTTTCGTTTGGCTAACACGGCCCGGCCTTGCATTGCTCCATCCGAACTGGGCCGATCCAACACCAAAACAGTCGTCGACTCGTCACAGATTCATCTAAAATGGCCGTTAGCCCCCGTCGAGCTGCGATCGACGCCAGATGCACTCTAAACCGTTTAAGAAAAGCGTCGACAAAATCGCAGACCCGTTGTCCATGGGCGCGAGAAAGACGTCTCAGAGCGCAACTCTGGCAGCCGATCGTATGTCCGCAATGAGCACTTTAATTCGGCACCTCCGACTCCGCAAGGGTTTAAAACACTCCACCATCCCGTCGAAAGGCAGCTAATGTCGCTAATGTCGTAGATGAAGAAAAAATATCTGTACTATTGCTTTATGTACCAAGGCTTCTGTCGGTAGTAGTTTACGACTTTGCGGCATATGTCGTGATGGATGATATTCGGTGCGTTTGATTTGCTGTTTACTTTTGGTTTACAGATCGCTTCCTGGTACGATGCCGAGCATTTCCTTAAATTGTATCGGTAGAGATATCGCAGTGAGGTGAATTTTATAAGATCGTATCATCGTACAGATTCGTACAGTCGTACTCAATTTCACAATCGATCCGCATCGTTAAGGGTAATCGTCAGCGTAGTCGCGCAAAAACAACCTGGAGCTCCGGACGCCGACGTGCCGGTAGCGAAACATGGATGCTCGGCACCCACGGCGGTGGGCGTGTTTTCGATAATTACTTGCATGTACTGATAGGGACCTTCTACGCTTGGAAGTGTAAAATGGAAAAAGAAGTCTTCCATTTTACATTTATTGAACCTTAACATTCACCTTCCGCTTAAACATACATGTATAACGCTAACACACACCTTGCTGAGCGCAAAAAAATGGCTAGCCTTCGCTTTATTATTTACAGTCGTATAGATGCGTTTAATTAGCGAATCCAGTTTGCGATGTGTCTTGCAGCCATGAATTTAAATGCATTTACAATATTTTGGTTAAAATATGCCGATGTAAAGCAATAAAATGCCTTGTTTGGAAGCCAGTCCCGTTTTGGATCGCGCTGCGGAAGATCAGCATGTCTTCTAAGCGACGATCTCGCACGGGAAAGGTCATACATACATACCAACTAATTATCCTTAGTGTGAGTTATCTACGCAGTACAACACATCTGACGCTAAATTCGTTTGCATGAATGCCGAGGATCGATGGATGTTGAATTTGCATGTTTAGCAGCTAAATACGACAGATTACGACTCAAAAAAGTGTAAGCGCAAGAACCGGGATCACCTAAGCGGCGTCACAGTAATTTTTGTACGGCTAAGTACTTTCTCTGCGTCTTAAAGATTACCATTGTACCTGGAAAGGCATGGAGCATGGATAAACAAATCGAAACTGAAGTTTAATGGTGCAACGCAAATGCACTTTACTTAGTAAAGTGCATAAAGTGTACTACATACATTGTACACACCCATAGTCCACTTTTGTCTGCGTATGAATTCCCATGGAAACGCCGATTGCCAACTTGCGACGATATCCGTGCACGATGCAAGCCAGTTTAAAACAGTTGCCAAACCGGAGTAAATTACAGTACTTAAGCATTCAGACTTGGAATCTAATATTGATGTTTTGCGCGCCTAATAAGCGGTCATAAACAGTTCCACAGCTTGGTTGTAGGCTGGATTCCGGACAGCGCTTATATTATATTATTACATCAAGAGCAGGATAACCGATTACGAGACTTCGAGGTCTATTCGGTAAGGATTTATCGGATGTATGCCTGGCATTGCAAATACTGTGTGATTCGACAGCGTGCAGTTGGTTAAGAAATTAATTGCCCTCGACGGTTTCCGCGACGAAGTTCAGAGGTGTGAAATACGCACGCTAGTACAGTCTGTAAGTAACCAGTTTACGCCGTGAACTTTACGGCGGGTTTCATCCGGCACCATCGCCTCCGCCGTCGTTCCGTTGTTTTTGAAAACGGCGGAGATTTCGTTATTTCGTTCGAATATTTTAGCGATAGTCGTTCCCGTGCCGGCTGTAGACAGAAGAATAATCTTTGTCCACGCAATACTAATAACAAACAACAAACTGATTAATCTTTTTACGTGTTGTTGAAAAGGAACTGATGGTGAGAAAAGTAGAGGATCTTGTTCTGCTAGTCAGGTGAGAAGTTTTGCGTTGAAAAGGTAATGAGAAATACTTGCATTTGCGAGTGTTACTTACGTATATGCCAGGCATGCACGGAGTGCCTCGCTGGGGCCGCTCCTGCAGTCATGCTGGCGCAACTTGGACGGCTTCACCTTCACAAGGAGATTACAAAAATTTGATATACAGTCTGTAGTTACAGTAACACAATAGATTTTGAAAGTATATTTAAATGTAAAATGCTTAAAAAAACAGCCGAAGCATCTGTAAAAACATTCGAAAAATTTAAAATGAAAAAATATGCAGCTTAAAGCTCAGAAAGCATGATAAAAAAATAATATAACTATTTCTTCAAGACTTTTCTGCCTTTTCAGTCCATCTTTGCGACCTTTTAGCTATCTGGGTATCTGATTAATTAATGTATTTAAATTTGGCACAAATGAACATAGTTTTAGTGTCATAGTGAGTTTCCAAACTGCCAACAGTATCATAGAAGGCGTAGGTTAGTAAGTTTGGAAACCGCCACCAGTATCCGAGAGGGACAACCAGTATCAAAGAGCCACGAAGGTTTGTGAGTTTCCCAGTTTCCAAACTACAACCAGTATCCCAGAGCGACGCTGATTAATGAATTTCAAAACTACCACCAGTATCACAGAAGGACGTATGTAGGTTAAGATCAGCACTGTCTGACCGGTCAGTCCCGACTGCACCAGCTCCTCGGCATTCCCCGCGTTGGCGGAGATGCGCACACTGGACGTCGGCTGTGCCGGCTCGTCCACCGTGCGATAGTTAACGGGCAGCTGCTGCTCGAACGAGGCCCGGATGACCTCTCGGAGTGTGGTGATTTCGAACACGTCATGGAATATGTGCGGGTGCCGCAGCTTTTGCCACCGCTCACGCAGCGCTGGCATTGATTTCTGGCGGACGTTGCGCAGTGTGTGCAGTTCCCGTCCGAAGAAACTCAGCGTTAAACTGACCAGGATCGTCTTCCACGAGTCAGGCCGGCCCACCACGACCACACTGGCGCAGTACTTAATACTGACTAAGGAATGGGCTGAAAAATACGAGGAGGTTGAATAAACTGATTAACAGCTGTAACCATTAACCCAACGTTGACCGACCCAGCATGAACAGGAACGTGTAAAAGGTGCTCTTCGGCAACATTCAGCCTGCGCAGTGTCAGCAGGAACGGCGGCTGCTCCGTACCGGTGTACGGGACGACCTTCTCCGGCAGCAAATATCCCGGAAGCCAGACGTACTGGCTGTTGGGATACTGGAGGCATCGCGCGCCGTCCTCACCGATGTAACAAACTACTTCCGACGACAGCACGACGGTGCGGAAGTCGTTTTGCAAGCCAAGACAAGCAATGGAGTGTTTCTGTCCGGTGTATAGTTTTGAGGTATTTGGAAGGAATTAACAGCATCTTAAACCTTTCGGGAATTCAAAATAAGTAAAATTACGTATAAGTTTGACGCAGTTGACAATTTAAATCACTCTTGGTAATGTTGCTAAACTGCGAAACTTGTACGAGTATTTGCTCATTCAAGACATTTTCCTGAATTTGCTGGAAGTTACTACGAACGGCTAAGTACCGAAAGTTTGAAATGTTTTTAAAAACTTTCGGGAAACCAAAAATTTTTTATCGAACTACTGGCAGGGAGCTTTGAAAGACGCTGGATTTTATAAAACTGCCAAAGGTATCGCAAACTGATTCTCAAATTAGGAGTAATTTTTTTTAAAAAGGACGTAGGAATATATGAATCTATTAATAACAGTACGCTGACTGGATAATACATTTTTGTTTATTTACCATTCTCACGCGGCCGTCGGCGACCAGGTTCTTCATGTACGTATAGAAAGCAATAAAAGCATCGTAAGTGGTCCTCACTTGCGGGAAGCTAGAGTCTTGCGTTAAGCCAAAGGCCTGACATCGGTTGGCCGTTAAATATTTGGAGAAGATCGTCATGACGGATAGAAATTTATAAAATCTAGAATTTTATAAGGCTTACCGACTAATTTTGTGGTACTGGACTACTGGTATACGTATAATAGCCTGCTTCAGGCTTTTTATGTTAATGCATAATTTTATGATATTTTCATTCATTACTCTAGAAGTAAGGAAAATCTTGTTGGAAGCCGGTCCCGTTTTGGACCGCACTGTAGAAGATCGATGTGTCTTCTGAGTGGCAGTCTAACACGAGAAGGGTTACTCGCATTGGTTAGTACTGCATGTTTTGAGCAGGCTAATACAAATTCCATGTAAAGTGCCATTTTTAATGGATTTATGAATTAAAGAAGGCCTCGGGCCCGAACAGTGAAGTACATCCGAATTCGACTTACTGAAATCTATAAAATGCTAGTACTTAAGGAACGAAAAGTGACTCGTAACGTATACGGTAATTAAGCAGTCATATAATACTGCATGCAGGAGCATCCTCGCAGGTTGCTCGAAGTTCTTTATTTTCACTACATATCACCAGCAACATTAACGGTGTCGGTCAAAACGCAATAAAGTAAACAGTCGCTCGTACTAATCGGCTGTATAATCCCGCTGGTTTAGCTTATATAGCCCCGAACTTTTGTTCACGCGTCAGCTAGCATAAAACTAGGCTTAATAACAGAAGAACGTAGTTGCTATAAGTATTACGTACACTCAGTAACCCATTAGCACAATAAAACAGAAAACACGAATGATGCTAAACAAAAGAGGCTGTGCAAAAACATACAAGCCTCAATCGTCAGAACTATATCCATTGAACCAACCTTGCATATCTCAAAGTCATTCGACGATAGCACGAAAATTGCCGGAACACCCACAAAGGAAAAAATTACGAGACATAGCCAGTTTAAGAATTTTCAAAACGTTGCAATTTAAGGCGCAAGTCTATTCGAGCGTTACCCAAACCAGTGAATGCAGCTGTCATCTCGTGCATTTTTGCGCGAAGCTATTTTAGTAGTATAGAAGGCCCAAATGCTATTAGCAAATTTACAAGATGGGTCAGCAAGCTTCAAAGTCGAAAAGTGATGATATTTTCTCCCGCCTGCACGTCCGGTGTGGTTAGGTGCAATTCACAGTCGAAAAACGGCATCCAGTACGTGCAAGGTCATTTTAGTCAGCCGCGTGACATCCAGCTTCCGTAGGTCCACATCATTCCAGTTTCGCGCAGTTCCATCTGGCCAAAATCCGTTATATCTAAGCAAGGCCACCATTTTAAAACAGGTTCAAAAACAACTTCAAGTAACTCACATTTGCAGGAGGATACGGATATCCGCCCAGTCGTCGGGATACGTCAAGGTCAGGAGCATTCGCTGATACACTGCCGCTACCCGCTCGTACACGGCATAACCGACAAAAGGAAAACTGGTTTCACTTGCCATGAGAATCGCGCGGAGAATTTGGGACTTGGAACCATTGCAGTCAATAGTTAACCGCGATACCACAACATCAAGGAAGAGCTCGCGATGGGCAATATCTTCGTGCCATTCGATGCACATTTTGTAATACGGATTATGCGTCACACCAAACTGCATGCGGTAGGGTGTCTGGAGCACCCCGGATAATGTGTACTTGACGAGGATCAGTTGCTGGCACAATGGAAAGAACTCTTTTAGACAGTTGCAGGTCCAATCAAAACTGGACTCCGCAGCAACCGGTTGGTGGTGCCAAATGCCCACCCAATCGTAGCCGCCTTTAATGACGAGCCTATCTAACTTGACCGCTTTGAGGCTGAGAAGATGCGCAGTGTGCTTTGAAAAGTCGTCGCAGAAGGAGGAAATGTAGGAGACGGTGCGGGTGTGAATCGTGATGGATTCTTCCAGTAGCACGGCAAATACGTAGTCGAGCTGCCGCGACGAACTCACTTCGAATTTCTGAATCTGGTGCGTGTCTATGAAGAGATGCCGGTCTGCTGCAGGACGGGCTAGAACATCCTGCCACAACGCGCAGACCCTGCAATCGCAAAGAAATGGCTGCACAAGATGAGAAATCGATGCCATCAACCAAACATTACAAGTGAAGGATAGTTGCCGAATTTTTCGGCAACTATTTTTCGGACTCTTTGCAAGAAAAGTGTAGACTTCTACAGAAGGCTACATGCCACTATAGTTACACACTTACACTACAGTACAGATACACAGTTACTGTAGCACGAGTATAAGCGAAGTATGTACAGTACATGCGTTATGCGTCTGCTGCGATCGATTCGTTCATTCGAATTCTTTTGACTGACAGAGTGCTGTCGATCAGTAAATCTGTGGTTGTTTTTCACCAACCTTTTCGCACGAAATCGGTCAAACAAGTCCAGACCCAGTAGGACATTTTCGAGCACCGGCAAGGGGAGGCCGTTTATGGTCTCTACCGCAAAAACAGTACTTTAAATAATAATAATTATTCATAATTTCAATAGGCACACGTTATGAACGTTTCCAACATTAATTATTAAGTACATTAGACCACGCCTCAGTTAGCCCGTTCATCCGCCTGTCGCTTGAATTCACGCGCTCACCGGTTTGCGAATCAAATTTATTGAAGGTAAGGCGGATACCGGCTGCCGGCATTCGATTAGCGCCCTCCACTTTGACGCATTGCCTGTAATACTCTGCGCAACGGCGATGCAGGGTCTCCTCTTGACACACCGCCGATTCCCCAGGTGAATTACTGTGCTGTTCCAAGAAAATAAAAGTCACAGTGTCGTTGTCCACGCGCACGTACATTCTTCGTTCGTTCTTCAGGAACTGGGCGTTGCTAAGAATATGCGAAGGATATGCAGTTGTTCCACCATTCGATTGGGAATACGAGACGCAGTTTTTAAGATGACTTAGGTTAGCCTGAATGAGGAAGGCTTTATCAAACGGTATGACACGTTTGACCCAAACCAATCTCGGTGACGAGCGCAAACCACAAATCGGCGCCTCGTGCGGTGACGGCAGACGTTCAATGATCTGAAAGGAACGAACGACGTTGCATCGGACCAATCCTGATTGGTTTTGATTATCCAGAACAACGTAGTAAAATGACCGAAACTCATTGGTCATTCGGGGTCGGAGCAGAGTGCCGGACCGAAAAACGTACGGACCATGGTCGTTCTGTCGAACAGCAACCTGAACTGAGACACTGCTGGGTTGCGTGTAATTATAGTGCAGAAGAGGATGGTGGAGCCAGATGTGGCGCGTATGGATCCAGCTTGCCGCCACAGCCGGAGACATGAAGTCGATAAAGAATTCATCCTCTTTGATGTCTTTAATCTTTCCCAGCCACCAATCGCCCTCCCGTTTTACCAATACATAGTTCATTACACCCCATTCTCGGCTTCCTATACAGCTCCGCGATTTACATTCAGTCATTTCCATAAAAAGCAGTGTAAGTCAGTTATGCGACTTCAAGATGAAAATTTATAGATGTAGTAGTATAAAAAATACTCTTGTGGAACACGCGTTTCTCTGCAGTTACCAGTGAAGCTAAAACCGTCGTTAACTGCACTTTGGTGCGACAGCACACCGTGCACGCGTTTATGTGGGTCAGCGAAGCGAAATTGTTCATGACAGTCGTTCTGTCAGCAGCAGAGCACCAAACACAGTCTGGTTGTCGCTTTCGTAGTTATTCAGGGCATATCATTGTGCTCAGTCTGCTTTGTAATGCGACGCATCCTGTCCTTGGTTGGATTTGACCAATAAAAAGAATGAAAATAGGTATTTTTTCGCCTCACATTAAGGCCGCTCAATAACAGAGAAAAAATCCAGATTACGATAGCCGATGCATGCACCAGCTCTCTAAACCAAGGTAGAGCACCAGTCGCACCGCCGCGCTCTAATAGGACAGTGGATAGTGAGCGAAGCCAGGCTGCATACACCGCGTATAGCGTACTTTTATACTTTTATAGAGCACTAAATAGTGAAGATTTGACTGTAGTGGCGCAAAACGCGCGACGTAACGGCGCGTATACTCGCAAGCGGTTTGATAACTTTGCTTAATAATTAAAATGTTTGGGATGCTTTAGCAGCTTGCCTGTCTGTGCAATCTTCGACATTGAAGCCCAGCGATTATCCACATTTCACACATAAACATATTATTGAGTTAAATTTTGTGTGTGCTGAACGAAAGCACACACATACGCTCACCAATACTCGTATCAAAGATTGGGAGAATGCCAGCGATCGTGAGACACGCTACGCGTTGGCGGACAACGTAAGTTTTTTACGTAGTATAAGTGACATATGCAGAAGTATAATGTGTCCCTGTTAGGCGGATGTTCGTTTATAACGTGTCCCTGTTAGCTGGGTGTTCCAACCACGAAGAAAACCAAGCGCGTCATCAAACCACCAGTGAAGGGCAAACGTAAACTGATCAACAAGCGGAAAATTGCGCTGGCTAGGCTAACCTATCTTTGCCTCTGCTGTTTCGTAGCATATCAGTGAGTTCCAGTTGAACATTATATGAGTACTTTATTGCAAACTTTCCGCAAGCCCGGCGTGGTTAGTTATAGGATATACTGCATCCATTTCGCGCAAGGCCATGTTGGTCAGGCCCGAGACATCGAAATTCCGTAAATCCACATCGTCCCAGTTGCGCGTCGATCCGTCAGGCCAGAATCCGCTATATCTGCACCAAGCATCGTTTTCCACCTTTTGCGTTTTGCACACGACGCGGTGCCTCCATCCATGCTGCCGTGCGCCTCACATCGAGGAGGAGGGGCCTCTCATTCCATCAAAGACTGTGCAATTGCGCCATTCGCCATTGGCATTTGGAGTGGGCGGAGTTGTCCAATCAGCTTTTGGTACTTCATTCTTTTTTAGGCCCCTTTGTGATGTGCAGGTCGGCTTGCCCTTTTTGCGGCGCCAAAATGTTGCCTTGTTGTGAAGTATTGTATAAGTAATACTTTAATAGTTAATTAATACTACATAATTAATGATGTGTGCAGCAACTGCGCAGCAGGTAGAATGACAGAAAGTACAGCAGAAAGAAGTAAGAAGTGAAACAGTAGTTGCTAGGAAAGCAACGTACACGACACTTGTTGTCAATTACGTAGCACTTTGTTTGATTATTTTCGTGAAATTGTGAACTACATGTATCGACGATCTTGAATTGCACCCACCACAGGACAATAAAGGCTGAGACACATGTGTCACAGTATACATTAATGTTATAGATTTTGGGTTTTATGATAATGGGAAGCCAGTAAACACCGCGATCTACCTCTTGCCGTTTGCTCTTGTATTTCCGGTATAGATAGAGATACCAGACCCTTACGTAGATTCAGCCCAGCCCCTAGATCGCAGTCATTACATGTACAAGAAACGAAAGTACATATTGAAAAATAAATCCCCAAAATAGAAACGAAAGTTATACTTTCGGTCATACATGGTACATGTGTTACACCACATACAGCGGTATGAATTTTGTACAATGTGACGTACGACCTCCCGCACAAAATAGAATTAAGAAATTCAGTGACAATACATAAAATAAAACTGACATGGCCGATTATAACAGAAAAATAAATATAAATCTGAAGAAAATTGCTCTTTGCAAAACTTTTCTGAAGCCTCTATTTGTGATTTAGCGTATCTGGAATAGCATTTCAACTACATATAAGGACACTTACAAGTGTTCCAAATTACTGTTTATTGTTGGACTTCCCTGTCCGCAGCTAACAGTTTCTTTCATTTTAGCGTATGTGGGTTATGGCGTTTAATTCTGGCTGACCCAGCTACAAACCGGCACCTGGTCTTTGATGCCAGGACATTCCAATCAAAACACGGGCCCTTCGGTAAAACAAACAACCACGAATACCAGATTGCGGTCGCTCTAGAGGCAGCCATCACCATGCAAACACGCAGCAGCAACATCAGCAATGCATTAACCTGCGTCAAACGCACAGTTGTGCGCGTTAGTAGTTAGTGGGACTATTGGGCGATGCTGACGAGCACTACCCGGCGTTCCGCTGTATGTGCCGCGCCAGCGCTACGGTACTGTCCTACCACTTCAACGGCCTATCGCTAGATGTGACGCAGGATGTGCGGCGCCCAAAGCGCATTTGGTGGCCCACCAAAGCGCATTTTGGTGTACCACCAAAAGCGCATTTCGGCCGTACAATAAGGAAAGCGCGCGGTTTTATTTGCGACGCACATTTCAGCACTACTTAATTGAATTTTATTCAATAATCAGCACAACATTTGAGTGCTACATCAACAATCAGCAAGTCCAAGAAAAACCACGGAAACTAAAACACCACTTCCTAATAAACCGATACATTCAGTCGCGTATAAACGAAAAAATCCGTCCACTCCGAAAACAGCCTAACATTAGTCGCAGGTGAAAAGGTCGGTAAAGCAAAAATACCCGACTGCATAAAACTGGAAACCGTATCTTTACTGCAGTAGAAAAAAAGTAAAAATATTACTGCGTCACTAAAACAAAACATTCCAACCGCAAATCTTTCAGTCCGTCCACACACCATCTCTTCACGCGATAACTCCCGCCTTACTGCTTGGCTTTTTTACGTCCGGTCTGATTTTCTTTATCCGAATCGCTATTTTCCACAATGTTCTCGCCATAACCAGACGTCGTTGCGTCGTTACCACGCGCCCGCTTTCCCTACAGAAACAAGCAAAGTTACTTTGGTAAATTCTTTATAAAAATTCGATAACCAAATATTTTAATAAATATGCGAGACAATTTGATCTTAATAAATAATTTAATAAACGCTGAATAAGGTCTTAATAATGCTGTCACCTTGGGCTGCTTAACGCTCTTCAGGAAGCATTCCGTTGGGTCGATCATACCGTGCAGGTCCACATCAGCTTGAATGGGATACACACGGCGGGCATGGAGCGCCGCATCCTGAATATTCTCCCATTTCTTTGTCACATACTCAAAATTTGAGGCTGAAAGCACAACCAATGATCAGACGTCGACAACCAGAAATATCAGCCGAACAATAAATTTTTACCATCATCTTGTAAATATCGCGGGCGTATCGCCGCTGATTGGACGAATCAAACGCCCAGTGCATACTCTCTACCGTCTCATTGAAGATATCCAGGATGTGAAATTTCTGCAACATCCACGCGAGAAATTAAATTAATTTGAAACAGAGCAGCTTTCATGCTTTCATTTTTTATAAACTGAAAAAATTGATTTGACAATGGAAAAAAGTTGAAATTAACTAAGGCAGAAAAATTCTTAAATAATTTTGTAATACGGCTTTTGCAAAAAACCCTTCTGAATGAGAGTGTTCGGTTAACTTTAAAAAACCGTACAAGCAGATATTACTACCAAGGAGGAACCGCACTCGCCTGCTGTAGCAAATATAAAAAATTTAAAATAAATTAAGATAATAAATATGAAATATAAGTACATATGATAAAATCAGTAACATAACGTCGAATAACAAAACTGTCCGTTAACTACTGATAAATTTAATAGTGTTTACATCAGGCAAACTTTACTGTAACCGAAAATTAAATTAATTTAAAATAAAATACTAATAATAAACCACAGTAAAAAATAAAGTTTTAATAAACCCACTCGCTCTCCGTTGCGTCCACGTAACAGCGGCAAATCGCGGATAATCGGCAGCAACTGTCCGGTGTTTGTCGCGGTGCTGCACCCAGCGTTGCTGCTACCGGCTTCCGAAACCGGTGCGGTATTGGCGACAATCACTCCGCCAGACGGTCCTTCTTCGTCCTCCGGGTTGCAGCGGCCGCCGGCTTCGACAGCGCATGCTTCAGCGCTCATACTGGCTTCGATATCGGCACCGTTACCGCCGCGGAGTCCTCCGCGCTCTGCCTGGTTCCCCGAGCTCGCTGGCCCCGCATGAGCTCCATCGTTCGGCTGATTAATCACACCACCATTACCCATGAGTCCACCGGCCGCTCCCAGCGCTACCACCGGCCGCAGCTGGCAAACCGTTGCCCGCTCTAACATGCCGTCCTGCACCACCACGGCCACCCCCTCTTCCTCATCCACGACCACCTCATCCACGACCACCTCGTCGATCTCCACGAAAGCGTCGTTCTCGTCCTTCTCCACGACCGCCCCGTGCACCGCAGCATTGACCGCCTCATCCACGGCGGCAATGATTGCTTCGTCCACCGCAGCCACGAACGCCTCTTCATCCATGGCTTCCGCGTCCACGGCAAATACCCCGTCCTCCGCGACCGGCGCCACATCCGGCGCGACCGGCGCCATCTCATCCATAGCGACTGCGGCCACACCGGCTGGCTCTCCTATAACCGCAACCTGACCGGTGGCTTGAAGAAAATCGCCACCGGTCCGCCGGCAACACCAACGT